GTGAGCTCCACTATAGGCTTTATGTATAAAACAAATCAAGTGGAAGTGAATGCCATACCTTTTGCCCAGGTTTGATGTAAGCCTTGACATGTTTAAGAACAGGTTTCAGATTATTTTCATATCTGACACACAGATCATGAATCTTGATCTCGCCTTCCTGTGGCCAATGTTCTGGAACTTGAGAAGGATCTGGGAAGAGGGGGAGATAGACAGATGGATAATAGCTAGGGGTAGATGTAGAAAGAAAGATACACATACCTAAATATGGTTAGATGTACATATGAGGTCTGACAATTAAGTTTGCGAACTCATCCTAGAAAAAGTGCTACATACCCCATTGCTAAGTAGCACTATGGTTACTTTTGAAATACTCCTTTTGGGAAGCTATGCCACCCTTAAAAGCAATTTTGGAACTCTTTCTGGAATGGCCATTAGAGCTGCCATTGTTTTACCCTTGATGTCCTGAACGTCATCAAAAAGTCTTCCTTTCAATATTTCCTTTATCTTTGCATAAAGAAAAAAGTCATTCAGATCAGGTGCATAGGAAGGGTGATCCAATACAGTTATTTGAGGGCTAAAAAAAAAAAATCCCTTAGCATACCCTGTGAACTCTTTGCTTCTGTTCATAAGTGAGCTCCTTTGGGACTATTTTTGCACACACCTTTCTCATGCCAAGATTTGTCAGTTAAGATTTTCCTAACTATTGCTTTTCTCATGTTTACTTGATCTTCCCTGCTTCTCACAGTCAGCCTATGATTTTGATGTGTAGTTCACTGAATTTTTGCAATGTTTTCATCAGTTTAGCCCATTACTGGCCTCCATAACCTCTCTTCATCAGTGATGCTTTCTCTCTCCTCAGAAAAACATTCAATTCATTTGTACACTGCTGTTTTCTTCATGGCATTATCCCCATAAAATTAACATGCCCCTGATTTCACTTCCACTCTTTCCAATTTAACAAGAAATTTAATGTTTGTTCATCACTCTAATGTAAGCTCCAACATTCTCATGACAGTACACAAAAACATACAGCAACAGTAATGAACACCACTCAGCAAGCCATTGCTGATGCATCCATGTGAATACAGCTATGAAACACTGATATACCAAGGTTATAAAACTTTACTGAGCTGTTTGTATGGTGCTGCCAATGTAAGTGCATGGTGGTGAGTTTGTGAACTTGTCAGACTTCATATATGTGTGAATATATATAAATTTATTTCGAAATTTAAAGTAATACTGAATCAGAGTCTGTACTGTTTTATTTTTAAATTTAAATCACATTTAAAATAAATGACTCTTAATTTCTTTCTTTCTTTCTTAGACAGAGTATCACTCTGTTGCCCTGGGTAGAGTGCTGTGGCATCATTATACCTTACAGCAACCTCAGACTTAAGGCTTAAAGGATCCTCTTGTCTCAGCCTCCCAAGTAGCTGGGACTACAGGCACCTGCCTCAACAACTGTCTAGTTTTCCTATTTTTGTTTTTTTTTTTTGGTAGAGAGTCTTGCTCTTGCTCAGGCTGATCTTAAACTTCTAAGCTCAAGCAATCCACTCACCTCAAAGTGCTAGGATTACAACTGTGAGTCACTGTGCCTGGCTTAAATGACTCTTGATTAAGAACTTTAAAAACAGTTCTAGTTGGTTTTCGGAGCATTTGCCAACATGGTGTCTCTTCAGCATTCCACGACTCCATTGTATTCAAGGTAAGTAGACATAGTTCATTTGTGAATTGATTTATTTGTTCAGTCAGTTAGCCATCAAATATTTGGATGTTTAAAATAGGAGAGGTGCTATGCAAGGTGCTAGAGATATGGAGATGAAGGTCCAGGCTGGAGGTACGTGTCATGTTTGTGGAAAGTGTACAAGTAGAACAGCATCACAGTACCACACGGAGAGCCACACAAGGGAAGTAAACCCATGAATGTCTAGTGTCTCTGCTAAGACATTTGGATTTCATCCTTGAAGAACTACATGGCTGTTCACAGATTCAGGTAAAGGAGTAACTTTGAAGCTTCAGATTCGCACTTAATAAAGATTATTCCATCCTCAGTATTGAATTTCCTGCCAGTTTTATTCTAGCAAAGCTGAAAATCTCAGTATTTTAAGAGCCAAGTTTCTTGACTCTTCTAAATTAATAAGGTCTTGAGAAAGAAAAAAAAACAGGAGTTTAGTTTAGGCTGGCAATTAATGTAACAAAGCACGAATATTTTCTAACTCTCTTTAAATATCATTATATAATACCTACTTGGATTCTGGTTCTATCCAAGACTTTTCAGGCCTAAATAGTCCTATCTTTTCAGGTATATATAATCAAGCAAACTCAAGATGGCAATGAGGTCTCTGGATATTGAAGTAGAAAGTAAAAGCCCAAAATGACAAGGTGCTTAACATACTAATATTTGATTAAAATGAATACTTGAGTGAAACGACATAATAATCCAAACAATACCCATGGTGCCTTCATAGTTCTCTGACTCCATAGTCAAGAAACTGTTCACTTTCTTCACAGCCCCCATCTGGACCTCCAGGTCAGCCAAGTTCCTCACAACCCAATTCAAATAATTGGTTATCTGTATCAGGGGACAGAAAATTAATATATTTCAGTTAAAGTTAAGGAACTTTTGTAATTGCTGGATATTGGGGACAGGATGACTTGGATGGTTAGCATATGCTATGTGGGACGGACAACTCATAAATGCTGCCAGGTACACTATGCAGCCATAAAAATATGGAGACTTCAAGTCTTTTATGTTTACTTGGATGGAGCTGGAAGATATTCTTCTTAGTAAAGTATCTCAAGAATGGAAATAAAAAGTATGTTTTCAATACTACTATGAAATCAGTATAGAGTCACATATGCATTCATAGGAATGGAAAAACAAACTATAGCCCTGAAAGGAGGGAAGAGGAAAGAGAGGGGAGGGGAGGGGGAAGACTTGGAGGAGGGAGGGCTTTTTTGGGGATCCAACCTAATGTGCATAATGCAATGATACATTTCTATACTATTAAGACTAGAGTATAAATGTTTTTACCACAACAAATAAGTAAGCAAGGAGATGGCAATGTTACTCAGTTAGCATTCCACATTGTATATCCAATCAGCACACTGTACCCCATAAATGCATTAATGTACACAGTTATGATTTAATAAAGAATTAAAAAAAATAAAGACTAGGGAAAACGTCATGGGATATGTCAGCAAAGAAAGATGTCTGCTCTCTTCAAGGGTCCTCACGGGTCACAGATTTGTGAACTGTCCTCTGATTTCCCTGCACAATGACAGTTGTATACACTTCCATTTGCACGTACCACATGCACATTCATGTTCATCCTGGGGAGGAAGTGTGGAGAGGGATCCCACAGAGCCTGGGAACACTCTGACCATGAGATCGGAGTAGTTCTAAAAATTGGTTCACAATGTCAGAAATGAATCCTCACTGTCTTAAAACGTTAGGTCAACTTTTTATATGAACTTTCAACTTCCCCTCTAAAGAGCTGATAATAACTATGACAAGTACCACAAAAGGAAAGATATTTCCTAACCACACCTACCGTAAGTGCATACAGAAGACCCAGGCCCACAAATCCAGAATTGGGAGACCCACTAATGGATGCGATAGAGGCAGTGAGAACAATGCAAGCTCCCAGGTAATCCTAAAAAGGAGCAAGAAAGAACATTACAAGATTATTTCCAAGTTCTTCAAGCGTCCTCAAACTATGGCCCGCGGGCCACATGTGGCCCACCTAGGACATTTATCCGACCCACTGGGTGTTTTTGCTGTTGCTGCCTGTCCTGCTTAGCAGCCAACTCATCCCAGAGCCCACAGTCTGGCCCTCCAACGGTCTGAGGGACAGTGAACTGGCCCCCTGTTTAAAAAGTTTGAGGACCCCTGTAATTAAACCAAAGATCTCAATCAACAGACAGAGGTGATCATTAGAAAAATATACCCCATTCCATGTATCCTGTTAAATGTCAGAGGAAGAGTACCTAAGATGTGGAAAAATGATAACTTACAATATGGAGAGTGTGAATGTCCTCATTATGGATAGACATAAAGACTTTGCAACCAGGGCACAACCAAGATCAGATATAGGATTTCCTTTTTTTCCCTTTATTAATGCAACGTGTTGCCAAACAACCATTTTTGGAGCTGATTTTCTAGCTTAAATTTCTTAACTGCTTATGTCAGGATTATTATTAGCATTTCTGTGCACTGTAGTGAGGCCTTTGCGGAAATTTGCCTCTGGTTAACTTGGTATTTGTAACTGAACTTTTTGTCAACTACCGTGTTTCCCTGAAAATAAGACCTACTCCCCAAATAAGCCCTAGCAGGATTTCTATGCATTTGTTAAATATAAGCCCTATCCCCCATAAAGACCTAGTGATGGACATGGCAATCACTAGCCATGCACTATCCATGCCCTGTATTTTGCCATGGAGCAGTAAGGAAGACTGGAATACCTTTTATCTGCCACAGCTCTTTTCTCCGAGCCATTGGCACTTGTGCAGGTGCAAATGTGATAACCACAGTGGCAGGCATCCTATTGTGCATGTGCAAACAGCTGGGGGAAAAGAGTTCGCACATCACTAGCACCAGCCCCACCAACAAGGTCAACTCCCCCTGTCAGGTTCTAGAAGAACATGACTAACTGTATTTGAATAAGTGTAGATTGTTGTATTATACTTAATAAAAATAAGACATTCCCTGAAAATAAGCCCTAGGGTGTCTTCTTGAGAAAAAATAAATATAAGACAGGGTCTTATTTTGGGGGAAACATGGTATCTGGGCTCAGAGTCTAGGACATTAAATCTACATATTTCATGAACATAAGAATAAAGGTTATATTTACTCAGAAATTATGAGTATGGACATGTCAGTGTATTTGAATTGTGTATAATTCAATAATAATCTCTTTCACAAAACTATAAAAAATTATTAAGCCTCACCTGGAATCAAATAAGAGATAGAGACATCTGCCCCTTTTCTAGCACCTTCTTCCCTTCCCACTTCCCCACCACTCCTGGGTATTTTTCTATCTTAATAGTCAACAAAGAAATCCTAAAAACGACTCATGCTAATGTGCCACATGCTCCAAACACACGTAGAATTTCAAGCAGGGGCATTTTCTAAAATTATCTGAAGGCTCCTCCTACTAGGGAATTCCTTTTCCAGCTAAATATATCTCTGGTTCCTCAAAAAGAAAAAAAGAGAAGAAAAAGAAAAAAGAAAAAAACCCCAGCTAGCAACTGGTTTGACATTAATGACAGTTGGAGTGTTTAATATGCTGAAGTCAAAGAGCTACATTTCTTGAATGAGCTCACGTGTCCATTCCTGCCTCCTTTTAAAACAGTTCTAAAGATCAAACCACTGGAGAGCGATTAATGATTCCCAGGCTTGGAATCATAATCTGGGTTCAAACACTGGCTGTGAGTTTAGACAAATAATTGAAGCACCTCTGAGATTTCATTTCTTCTTTGGAAAATAGATACGATATCTAAATCACAGGAATTTTAAAAGAAATAAAAATCTTAGGTACCAAATAGGTTTCCCATCTCCATGCATCAGGATTTTTCTCCCCTGCATAATTTTCAAATATATGAAGCAAGAAGAAAAATTGGGGTGCATTGTAAAACACCAAAGCTTAACGTAGGCACCAAATTTTAATTCCATATTTAGTCCCACGATCTTTACCCAGAATAAAGAAAAAGGAAAGCAAGTAGACTTTATCCTCAATAAATTCCACAGAGGTAGCAAATACTTCTCTGATTAATTCTTCTGATGTATCCATCTGTTAACAGAGTGTCATGCATTCCAATCAGACCATTCTTCCTCTTTCCCCTTTTACTGGATGCAGAATTTGACCAGTTTTGGGCTGTTCTTTTATCGTTTATAAATGGTAACATACTCTCAAATACTTACAAAATGTTTATATGAATATGAATTTTCTCCTTTCAGCCCTCTTGTGTAAAGTTAATACTTTCAAAGTTATGTTCTACATTTATTTCCATATTATATTTTCAAAAAAGACACATAAAAGAGTTTCTGTGATAAGTTCCAGAAAGTATATTACTACCAGAGGATACTGCCAGCAAGGTGCTCCTGGCTGGACATAAAGAAATATGTCATTTGGTTTATGGGAAATTTCTGTGGGTAATGGTAGACATTAAGAGTTTTAGGCATGGCATTCCTTTTAGTAACTTCTGTCCTCTCTTTCCTACCGGTGACTTCACTGGGAAGAAAAACCTCATTCATTTGTTCACTCATTCATACATTCTTTTAAAAGTGCAAGTCAGGTCAGAGAATTTGCCTGTTTAGATTACCGATATTCTCCTATCACACTTTCAATAAATTCAAACTCAGATTAATCACAAAGCTTTATACTAACATGAAGTCTGGATTCTATGCCCTGTCTGCTCTAACTTTATCTAAGGGTCCTTTCCTCCACTTTCATTCTGCGCCAACCACACTGGCCTTTTTCCTATTCTTGGGAACATATCAACTTTGTTCCTGCCAATGACTGCCTGAAATGTCGCCCTCAGGTCTCTGGATGTGAGCTCCATGAGGACAGGGTCTCAGTGTGAATTTTTACCACTATTATCTCAGCAACAGTAATAATGCTAAATGCACTGTAAACGCTCAGTAATTGTTTATGGAATAGAAGACTAGATACGTTAACTCCTTAATAAAGCAGTCAATGATTTTTTTTATGAGCTAAATATCTTCTAAATCAGAACTCACTTCACTTTTGAATGAATTGCTCACAATTGTCTGGTTTGCTCACAAACCCAAACATTCATGGGTTTACTTCCCTTATGTGGCTCTGCGTGTGGTTGAAGGATTCTCTCTAGGAATCCCTTGATTCTCCACCAATCTCTTTCCCACTGCTTAAGGGCTGAACATGTAAAGATATTACAAGGATGTATTTTTTTTTCCTCAAGTGAGAAGCCCAACACCAAGTTTTATGATCTTTTTATCCCCCATTTAGAACTGTAG